TATACGATTAACCCTGTATCTTGTCAAAGTGGCGGGGTTACCCAAACTTCGAGAACTTGTCGGAGTTTGAGGCGCCACTTCGACAAGACTGCCCAGACGTCGCGGGCGCTAATGCTCAAAAGGATCATGTTGCTTTGCATCGTCTTGAACCCCGCGCTTCTCGGCAGTAACCCGGGAAGTCGATAGCCTATGAGCTGAGCTCAAGCTATGGCTTTGAGCTGCTATGTTCTTAGACTTTCTAAAGTGAGAAACCACATAGCTCGCGGGAGCGTGATGGATGACTGTTCGATGTGTCGCGGGGTGACAATACGCAGGAAGTCGGCATTGCGCCTCGGGTTTGGCAAACTCAATTCTAAGATGGTGCTCAACGCGCACGTCCACTTCCTTGTGGCTTCTCTGTAGGGTTCACAGCGATGAAAGTTTTGGGTGCCGCTCAACCCATCGCTTAAAGAGCTCATTGCCATCTGCAGCGGTTTCGCCAGGGACGAGCATCATAGGGACGGTCCGGAAGAGGGCACCATCTTTTTGAGCTTAGAGTCGAGCGCGGTGCTAATCTATTGGGATATCTTGCAGTACCAAAAAGTGAGCTCGCAGAATTTTCCGCTGGTCAAGTTTTGCGGCGGCTGACTGTCCGACTACGTCAACGCTCAACAATCGAGCAATCGTGTCTTTTGCTTCAATAGCGGATCCGACGAGCGGAAACTGTACTTCACATGAGGGTCGAAGATCGAACGTGGACACGAGCGCATGAGAGCCGCGCTGTGTGCAGCCTCCAGCTGCTGCTCCTGTCCCTCGTCGAGGTGACTGGTAACAATATTAGCTTTCCCTAGAGTCGTGAGGTCGGGAAACGGGCATGGTGTCAATGCTTTCAGCTTCGGACAATTCAATGTTTTGCACGAACGTTATACCAGCGTCAAATTCGCACCTGATCTCTAAAAATTTAGCGTGCATGACTTGCAAACACTTTAGCAGGATATATTCAACATTTTTCACATTTATTCACCCATGTTGTCGCAATAGAGCCGCGTCACAACTAGATGAGATCATAAGTCAAATTTAGGTCCGGGTCAAAACAGCGATTCACAATATTAAAGTTTTCAAGCTTTATTTGAGCGCTCAAAAGTTTTACCCGTGGCCTGTCACGAGACACACGTACAGTGATCGAAGTCTTCAATACCTTAGACAGTCTCAATATCGTACGAAATTGTTAGGTATATTTAAAATAATCAGAATTTCATTGGCCCCTGATATTGAAGTTAGCAAACAGCAAACTCGGGATGTGAGCCCTACCTCGTTTGCGCGATTAGAATTTTGTTGAGCTGGATTCGACTTCCATGATGCACAATAACACTCATTTTCCCTGCAGTAGGCCACCATGTGCCTACAAGGACTTTATATCATCCTGCATAGTATTTGCCAGTCGACCCTGTGGTATTTCGAACAGGCTAGAGAAGGAGGCATGCAAATTTGAAGAGTTTGGTATGTAGAGAATGCAAGTGTCACGAGGAGTAAACTCGAAGTCTTCTTAATCGTGGTGAGTTTCACAGCTCGTAGCGTGCTCATAAAGCCACCATTACCCGTTCGACTGACATTTGAGGCACAAAATTGATCTTCAATATTTTGCAAGGCCATCTGCTTTTTAGAGGTCAATTGGATATAAATGCTCTAAAATTAAGTCGCGCACCATGCGAGGATCCCAAATTATAATATGAATCGTTTTTGTCAAGAAATGCAGTATGCCGCCATGTCTTACTTTGACGACGTTGGACGCTTAGCATATGTGGCCTCACGATAGGTTCTGGTCACTTCACAGACGCCTGATTGAGGCTACCTGAAGGAAAACAAAGATTAAAGCTTCGTGTCGTGTCATACGAGGACAGGTAGGTCGACAACCCGTAGCGCATCACAGATGTTACCGTTTATAAAGATCTGGTTGCGAAATTGACGACGAGTGTACCAGATGCAACGGGTCCTCGCACAATTAATCCGTTGATTCATGACTATGAGCCCGCGCAAACCGGCACAGAGGATGATTTTGCGCGTTTCACCGTTAAATGGAGCCAAGAACTTTTTGAAATGCTATTTCTTCTTTGCTCGACATATAATATTACTAAAGCGAGCGCAAAATAAACCTATTTAGTATCAACAAAAGTAAAACCCTATGTAATGAATTATGTGGAGCTAGCATAGCAACCCACGGGTCCCTCGAACCTCTTCTTTAACACCATCTACCGTCGTCATGATATTTCATCACGGTACTCAACTGTAGTAGTATAGGATCAACAGTGACAATTGTTCAATTTGCAACATGTACGTACACTATGACATGGTATGTGCCTCATTACAGTCCAGCTGCAGATTTTGCTCTTCGCCGTCACGCGCAATTTTTCTTACGTACCCTGTTGTATATGTACGTGAACACTAGGATGTCCTTAAAGCGATGCTCAAATGTGTCTTGGTAAAGAACTATGATGAGTACCATGATTCAACTAATGTATGAGATCGTTGTGGTAGTCGTACGCCACGCAATTCTATCAAAACACAGTCACTGATAATACAACGCTTTTATCTGTAATACCCACTTTGATTTAGTGTGGAGCAGTGGTTACTAGAGTAGGGCAAGTTTCCGCATCCTATAGTTGGCCATCTGTACTTTATCCACTTAGTTAAAGTTTCTGTGGTGTGACGAGACTTGCCGTGCTGTACTGACATTATCTTGCCTGAACCTAGTTGGATCATAATGCAATGAGGCGTAAAAACTCACAGGTCTCAAAGTCAGGTTACAAATCAATTTTAAAATACATGTATACTGCGTAGAATTGATAGTACGGCATGTTCACGAACGTCCAGTTGTGACTGTATTGCTGCGTGATTTAAAAAGTAAATATACGTGAAGTACACCTTTTGTGATCTAAGTAAAAAGAAAAACAAACATCTTACGGAGGCACCTCTTGTAAGCTTTTTTTGAGAGCTTCCGTAAGCGATAGAACATCAGCCTCTGCACTCGTTTCTCCTTCTTGAATTAAAGTTGGAATGCGTTCAGGTTTGTAGAGTTTCAAAGCCGAAACCATTTGCACATCCGCTTTACTTCCATAGCACCGACTCATGTAATCCATCCACGCTCTCGAACAAAGAAGGTCAAATAAGAAAGTCTCACGGTTGAGAGTTTTCAACAAATCAATATCGAGGTCTAAGTCCCATGAATCGGCCATCGCTTTTCGTATTGAGTATTGAATGGTTTTCGGAAAAAGAAGTTGACTAAGTTCGAGAACCTCATTAGCATAAAAGATGCTTGTAAACGAAGGCAAAATAGAGGTGACTGGATCAGCTTTTAATCTTATTGCGGTTTTGCCCCATGAAGAGAGGGCGCGAGACTCGTCTGCTTTGAGTGCATCATACACATCTACCTTCGCCATCATATCTGCCAGTTTGTAATCCACTAATTCTTTTGTGATAAACCTAGCATCGCCATCAGCTTTAAAGTGCGCTTCACCGAGTTTTTCTTCACTGATTCCTAGTTGCTCTATCTTGCGATACAGGTCGCGAGCACGAGTACTTGCTAGTTCTTGGGGCTTGAATAAGTACCAATTCTGCATGTTCTGACTCTTAAATACGTCAACAAGGTTGTCGTTGTTGCGAAACCATCCATTTAAAATTCCAATTTCGATTCGGTCACCAATGGACTTTGAGCCCTCATCAACCTTAAGTCTTGTGCTTAGTTTAAGTAGTGAGTATTCAAGACGATCCGCAAAAGGCTTCAATTCCACATCATGTTTAGCATTGGCGATATAGTCCTTCAGCGCGACTTCGAAACGATCGCCGAAAGCTAATTTGTCGTCGACAACCTTAGTAGTTGGAATGGAGTCGATCAGTTTTTCCATTCGGTGTTCTGCTAATATCGAGACCATAAGACGAGCGGCTTCATCTGGATTGTCAGGAAAGGCGTCCACGAAATATTTCGACCACTTTTGGAATTGATGGCTGTTGAAGAAATCCACTGCCTGGTCAGCGTCCACTTTCTTCAGTAACTTTTCACCTGCTGCCTCTTTGTCGGCGGCGTGCCTCAGGTAGATATGTGGCCTAAAGAACCTCATGATCCAAGACGATGCGAGCTTTTGCCATAGATAAGAAGGCTTGAAATGCGACATAAAGCGTGAAAGCAGTCCAGCCTCTTCTTCAACCGCAACAGGTGCAACTCTTTCTTCCTAAGACGCTGACAATTGATCAGATGTCGACAATAAGGCTCTCTTGTGTCGCTGGACCATCGCACGCTCAGCGCTTACCATCAAGATATTTAATTGAGATAACTCACTGGAGATCAATAGAGTGATGCATGACAGCAAAAGGAAACATAGAGTGGAACTTTGCATGTCGCGGTCAATGGCGGCTAAAGTGCTTGACCTTCTGTAAGGAAATCGAGCAATAAATCACAGGAAGTGCGTGAACCCGAATTTGGGCAAACTCGTATAGTAACATGTTCTAACTCCATACAAATTCTATGCCTTGAAAATTAGAGGGAGTTCACGAACAGGGCAGAATTATGGCTTATCCTGGAAGCAGATCCCGCTAAGACTACTCGAGTAGAGTTTGAAGACTATCCAACCAGCTGCATTTCAGCACATCGTGATCCTGTCATGTGTGTTCCATTTATATTCTCGATCTCTCTAATCCCAGGATGAGGACAATCAATTCTTGCTTGATGAGAAGTACTTTTGTGGTCTTTTCTTTGAGATGCATATGTAAGATGTCATTAAGGTTGTCGACGGTCAATTACCTTTGTGATCGATTTGCTCGACAATAAAGATGTTGAGCGTGCCATGGTGATGAACCCCCAACAAAGAGATTAGCCAAGCGCATTCTGGAGCCAAAGGCTGGTCGTGACAATAATGAAGGGATGAAGGATCTGAAATTGAACAATCGAACGATCCCTGCACCTTCCATTTTGACGTTTGTATTAAAGCCAAAATTTTGCTGGTGTCACGTCGCGTTTCCTGTGTTCTCCGTGATGAGCAGATGCTCTCTAATGATATGCTGGCAAAGCCTTTGTGAAATATTTACACGATGCGACGATCAGTCATTGGCACCTGGCACAGACAAAAACTTTGCTGACTTGGCAGACTCGCCCTTCAACGATGTTTAAGCGAGAGATTGAATTGATGATACGAGACTGCAACATCTTGGACCTCGTGACGACTGGGATTTTGAACAACTCAACAAGAACCAAGTTTTCGTGATTTCAAAAGGAAAAGGGGGCGACCGTGCTAGTATACAATCTTTTTCGAAAGTTTTTGAAAAGATTCAAGGATAGGTACGCATTCTATCCTATTCCTCTTATCTCGACGTTTGTTGTAATTCATAAAATATGGTGTACGACACGTATTTTAGCATTCTTACCATCAAAATCTTGAGAATGTGAAAAACTACACTTGCATATAAAACAAAGTAAAGGAAATATCATCCGTCAAAAACCTCTTCATAAATGATTATGTGGCAGCACAGTCACAATATTGGATGGTGTGTATTATCTTTTACTCATCACACCATCTCTCTTTGTACCCCACGTAAACATGAACTGCATACAGTACAATGTATCGTGTACAAGTAGACAATATACTACTCTCTAAAGTCTTAGAATTTGCATCTCAAAGAATTATCTCCGGGAGCGTAATCGTACCTTTTGCCGTAATATCAGTGCAGCAAGTGGTAGATACCATAATTGTATCAGCCAGTGATAAAAACTTGACCGAGCAAAAAGGATGATTTGGATGGCTAACTATGTACACTTAAAGCTCTTGATGATACCAGCGTCGAGTTGTAACGGGGTTACACGTACCCTGGTAACAGGTGTGTGTCGCACGAATTGTGCATGGTGTGACTGCACCCAAACAAGAATGCGGTATGTTGCTAGGTAGCCAGTAATTATGCATGTATTTAGATTTTACTATGTATATTTGGGAAAATCTAAACATTTAAAATTAGGCGGTGTAGCCGCAAATAAAAATTAATAAAAATCAGTTTCGGATTTTATTCGAAAGAGTAATCAGCCTTGGATTAAGGCAATCATTACTCTTGGAGCAAGCGGATTGCGATCCGCAAAACTCGTACTTGTTCTAAGTATAGAACGAAAGGTCGGTGACCTAAATTACGCTTTCTCTAAGCACAACGCTGCGGCAGCCTCGCTGCACTTGGTAGCACTTGCAGACAATCAACACCCGAGTCGTTAAGACTGATTTTCTGTGAGGATGGAGGAATTTTCCTCTTCGCCCCAGGGCATGCAGGACGAACTTAACAAGCTGATGTCCTTGCTTGGCCCTGAGGGCGTGCAACACCTTGCGGCGCAAGACCCCGAGGCAATCGTTGCGCCTATAGAGGCGTACTCGAATTACGAAAACGCGCTGCTAGAGCACGTGCAGCAGTAATTGTCTGCATCATTTGCGGCTATGACACGCGGCTATGACACCACCGTCGGTGACGGATGACTTTCCTCGCCCTAAGCCGCTCATAGTGAGCTTTCAGGTCTTTGGGGGGAAGGATGGAGAGAACTTCCTGCTCTGCGTGCTGCACTTCGGTCGAGGCTGCGCTTCCCTCCTGGGTGGAGCTGAAATTGCAGCTCTCACGAGTGTTCTCACCGCCTAATCAAGCAAACCGCGTACAATCGCGCTTCCTTGCCGCCCGACAGGGTAACTAGGAATTGGTGGACTTTGTCCATGAGATGCACACTCTCATTGCCGGATTGGCAGCAGATCCCCTTCCAAGGCGGTCACAGTGACCGTCTTGATGGAAGGCCTCCGCACTGGCGTGATTAGAATGGAAGTATTCTGTGTGCATCCGTCTTCGTTCGAAAAGGCGGTGAATGTGGCATTGATAGCCGTATTCAAATGCAAGACGGTACGACTTGGTTGATATCACACTCCAACAGCTCGTCGAGCGGGCCTATGCCCATAAATCTCAGCTATGCTGAGGAGGAAGAAGCGGAGCTCCGAGCTTCCGGGCAGTATACACACATTCGACGGTGTTTTGGATGTGGGGACACCCGTCACCTTAGGAACGGTTGCTCCTGCGCAAGGCGCGTCAAGGTTCTTCGAACCATCGCCTCAATGCCTACCAGTCTGGTTCGTCGCAGGAAAACGACACCACCCAGAAGGCGCGGGGCGCCCAACTGGGGAAGAACTGATCTCTCTTGAGCCTCAGGGAGGCATAGTTCAACAGGGCCCAGCCCCGAAGAGCTCTGTGCTCTTAAACTCGGAAAGTGTATGCAAGCCAGGCTTGCTTGTCGTGGAGGCGATCGTAAAGGGCTTCGAAAAGTCATGGAAGATCCTCATCGATCCGGGGCGTCGGGCAATTATGCGCGACACTCCACGATGGAAGGAAGTCAGCTGTATGCTGAGGCGCTGAAAGCGCGGTTAGGTGACATCATCACTGTTCATCTAGCGACGGGGACGCGTGTCACGGTCCCGAAGATCCCTGTGCACCTCGGAGTCAAGTTCCTTGACTTTAATAGCGTGGAACGCTGTCTAGACTTAGACTTGGATGCAAGGTATGACCTTATCTTAGGAATGACATGGTCGAAACGCCATGAGTCATGGATTGACTAGAGGTTAAAAGATCTTGGCTCTACGCGCACGTCTCCAGGTGTAGCACTGGCGAGTCTTGTACCGACCTCTGCTAGGAGACAAAAGAGCTATTGGCGAGAGCATTGGACCGAGACAGTCAACGTGCTGGACATTGGAATGTCCGAATCGGTAGACACCAACAGTGTATCGGACAGTAGTCCCAATCGTGGCACACGAGCTGATCGGGGGTGGCACGTAACACACTGAGCGCTTCTCAAGTTTCGGAGCAGTCGCTGCATGTCATGCGTGACATGGTCGGCCAAGGGCCGAAGCATCGAGGTCGAGGCACCCGTGATGCACGTGAAGTGGCAAGTAAGCCACTGGGGGCTGCTCGAGTATCGATGCAGTCGCTGCATGTCATGCGTGACATGGTCGGCCAAAGGCCAAGGCACCGAGAGCGAGGCCCCCGTCATGCACGTAAAGTAACACGTAAACCACTGAGCACTGCACTTGTTGTGAAGCAGTCGCTGCATGCCATTGGTGACGTGGTCGGACAGAGTCCGAGGCATCTCGGACACGGCCCTTGAGATGCGCGAGGAGTGGCATAATATCCACTGGACGAAGACTGCGGGGTTAGCAGCTCTTCGTCGGATGTTGTAGATAACAAAAGAGTACCAAAGGAGCGGACAGGGATGGTGACACCGGACGACGCGGAATGCGTGTTCACCTTGGTCTTACCGAGACATAGAACCTCTGTGCAGAGGCGACGGCGACGCCGACGCCGTATGCTGGCTGCAAGACGCCGGGTGTCGTCGACCCTGATCCAGGGTGTGTCTACCGTAGACGATGGCCCATAGTTTTACACCCTCGTCAACGGTATGACGGGAGAGAACGTCCGCCTCGAGGCTATGCCTGCAATAGATGCTCTTCTTGAGCTGGACGAGATGTCCCTTGAAGAGTTTGGCAGTGCCTTGAGTCAGGCGATTTGGTCGGAGTGGTCATTGTAAACCAGACGAGGAGATAAACTCGTCATCGCTTCTGGATGAAGCTGTCTTAAAGGATACCAAGAGAGTGTTGAACGCACGAAGTGGATCGTCGATCCCACGGAATCCCTGGGATCCGTACTATCCTTTGGTAAAAGAAGTTCAAGACGTCGTCTCCAAAGACCCGCCTTCGGTCCTACCTCCGGATCGAGGTGTGCGTCATGAGATCGACCTGGTTCCGGAAACCAAATACTGCGTAACACGCCAATGGCTTGCCCAAGAAGCAGTACGACGTCATTGACACATTTTTCTGTGCGAAGCACGACGCAAGGATGGTACGTGCGAGCAAGTCTCCCCATTTGACACCCACGTTTTGTGTCCGAAAGCCGAACGGCAAGTGGCGTATTGTTCATGCTTACAATAAGCTCAACGCTGCCACCATTTTGGCACAAACGCCGATTCCTAAAAAGGATGTTCTTCAGAACAATATGGTGGGATGTACGAAGTGCAGTGCACTCGAATTGGTAGATGGGTATTTCTTATCACCAATTGCTCGTGACAACGAGTGACATTCCGATGACAGCGGTAAGCACTCCGATCGGCATGCTCTGGGAGTGGCTGGTGATGCCTCAAGGCCTGTCAATGCACCAGCAACATTCAATCGTCTTGTGACGCAGTTGTTAATGCCCCACAGGGCCTATGCGCAGACATAATTTGACAACATTTTCTTTCACAGTCGTGCGAAGCACGGGAGGACGAATGAAGAGAACCATATCGTCCGTCTAAGAGCGGTTCTCGAGTGTATGCGCACGAACAAACTGTACGCCAATGCAGACAAGTGCATCTTTGGTGCAGAAGAGATTCCCTTTTTAGATGCTTCATTGGGAAGCGTGGCCTTCGAGCGGATCCCGCTAAGGTCAAGGCCATAGTAGATTGGCCAGTTCTAAAGAATCAGAAGGATTTGCGTAAGTGGCTTGGTCGTGCCAATTACTTGCACAAGTACAGCGTAAACTCCGCAGAAATTGCCCGGCCATTATTTAATCTTCTTAGAAAGGATGCTGAATGGTGTTAGAACACCGAACATCAGGAGGCTTTTGACGGGGTCAAAGACG